TTTGCTGCAGGGGATACAGTTATGTAAAAGAATCATTCTTTTTTTATGCCAATGTTCTATTTTTATTTTTTGTAGTACATTATTCATGCAATACTATATATCGAATTCTGTTCCTGACTTGAAGACTGTGACCATCTACAGGGAGAGTCCTGTTCTTTTTTATTCTACTCAATACATCCTACCCACAAAGTTGTATCCAAGCTTCTTGCTGTTGAACATTAGGTGATGTGATGTGCTGTTTGTTCTGTCATGGCTCACCAAGGAAAAGCACAGAGCAGACAGAGTTTATTCAGGGGTGGTGGGATTTTTTTTTTTTAAATGTAGAGATTGTTGCAATGTACAGGGGTTATAGAGATGTAGCTATGTCAAGATCAAGAAGCTATGCCTGGAAATTGGAGCTCTGCCCTGGGAAAGTTTGCTGTTTCACACGTGCTTTCACAGCACACATGGCCTTTCTCAGCTCATCCTCTCCACAGGCACTGGAGAACTTTCCCTGCACAGCAGCTTGGTAAAATAACTTCTGTTTTGCCAAGGAAGCAAAGCTGGCTTCCAAGGTCTTCATCTCTAAACTTCAAAATCAAAATCCCAGCACAGATATCTTCAAGAGAAGGATTTAAATTTGGAAGATGGCTTTATATCATATAGCAAATAGAAGACCTGAGTAGAAGTATGAAGAAGGATAAGACAGATATAAGGTGTTTGCTACAGTTTACCTGCAGAGCAGATGCTGTGTGCTAGATGATGTTTCTGTATGACCCAGGTCATCATCCTCCATGTCAGAGGGGTGACAGCAAACACTGACCAGCCTCTGACCAGCATGCTTTTCCTCTGTGCACCAGTTCTGCATCTCATTTCCTGAAGTACATCTGTTTTTCATCCACACCTTAAATTTTCCAGCTACCGAGTGCTCACGGTGAGATGGTGCATTTTAAGCACCAACAACACTGTGCGTGTGTCTCAGTTACTGAACACAGAGGCTGTGAGGAGGCATGGAAAAGGTCCATCTAAGGACCAGATGACCACAGCCCTAGTGCTGTGCCAGGCTCATTTGGTATCACTGAACACTGAACTGGTCTGATAACATATCTTCTACCAGAGTAAACACTTAGTTTTAAACACACAAGTGATTATATGGGCTATATTGCTAGAAAAAAAGTGTGCATTTAAGTGTGGGGTCAGGGCCATGCTGCAGAGACAACCATGTAGCTTGATAAAATACCTGAATCATTGCAAGGCTTTTAAGTTAATTTTCTTGACTGCTACAGTGCTTCAGTGGGGCTGATCTTAAAAATTCTGACGGAGCTGTATGGTACCTACACTGGCTCCTCCTAAACAACAGTTGTCCTGGCCAGTCAATGAAAGTGTTGGATTTTGAATGCAGGGATCAATAATACTGCATTTTCTTAAATTTCTCATTCCCGCCAGCAACGCAAGAGAGAGTAAGACGCTCGATGGTGGAACAAGTGATCCTCTCTCCCCCTCTGCTGGAAAACCATGATATGACCTCCTGGCAGAAAAAGGATGAGATTCAAGTCATCCTCATCCCTGCCTATGGCAGGGAGTTGGAACTAGATGATCTTTAGCATCCCTTCCAACCCAAACCATTCTAGGATTCTATCAGATGTTCAGGGAACCAGATTGAGGTGAGTGTCCTGGCCCTCTTGGGGACAGAGTAAGGCATAAAATCTGAGCCAAAATCCCTCCCTAGTACAAGGCTGTGCCCTGCTATCCACTTTTTCCCATTTGTCTGGGTTTTGAGTTGTTTTTTTCAGAGATATGGACCCTACTGCCTTTCCCCAGTGTTGTCCCACATGTGGGGCCAGTAGCTGTGACAAAAGAAAACAAATTGTCAGACCACACCCAATCTCTAATATCATGACACTGGGCTAATGTTATCACCAATTATATCACGGGTAACACCTGAACCTAGTGGTCTTCCAGAGAAGACTGGATTGCATAAAAATTTGCTTCATCTTCACCAGTCACACTACCCCACCTTTCTAAAAGTCTGAAAGAGTAGAAATAAATCATATTCCCAAGATCTGCTGTTGTTTCTGCTCTTTAGTAACACCTCTGTGAATTCAAAAAAACCCCAACCAACAACAACAACACAAACTAAAACCAACCAAACAAACCAATCCAAACAAACAAAGAAAAAAACCCCCAAATTCCAAATCTATATAATAGACCTATATTATATTAAAAATCCCATCAGTCACTAAGTAGCTGAAAAGAATAATTCAGGGAAAATAAGTGTGCTAGATGCTGTGCTTGCAGCCCTTGGACTGATGCAACTACATAATACACTATTAGCAGAACTGCAGGAAAAAAACCATCCAAATAATGAAATTTTAAATTTTTAAACAGGCCAGAATGGTTTGTTCTGGGGAGATTCTGCATACGTAGGGAGTGTTTGGGGCTGCTACTCTCAGTAGTGGTGTTTGGTTTTATTCACATCAGGGCTGTGCCTGGGAATTCCTGTTCTGGGTCGGTGCCTCTAAGACACAAACCCAGAGCAAACCCCATGCTCCTGCTCCAAACTGCTGCCTGTGGAATAACAGCAGAGGACAAGGTGGTCATTGTGTTTTACTGGGACGTCACTATTCCTGGCAATTTGCAGCTTGGTGGGGACCAATGGGAGGCACCAGCACTATCAGAAGAGATGGGGTAGGAGGGGAAGGGCTAGTGAAGGGATTACCTGCATTCCCTCCAGCATTTCAGGGAGGGTGTAAAGTGTTTTGTTGTCTCTTGACATCTCTGTCTAGTTTCTCGAAGGAAAGTTTCCCGTGTGGTGCATTAAAAGGTGACTTATGTAGAGCAGCATCAGCTCTTTGTCATCAGGCTTTCCCCAAAAGTCCGGAGCAAGGGAAAAAAGTTGGATTCCACCTCTGCACTGTTTGATCTGTACAACAACACTGTGGCTACACCATGCTCCCCATGCAGTTATTGCAGCCTGGAGCGATTTATGGCAACCCTGGGGCTGCTGTCGAGGGGAGGTGAGGCTAGTGGGGTCCCACTAGGGCTAGCACTCACAAAATGCATGTTTTCAAGAAACTTCTGGCATTTTTTTAATGTTTTTAGAGTGCATATAGAGGAATCTGCCCCATCCTTTTCCACAGGACCACGGCTCTGAAGTCACAACCTCCTGATTCTCCAACAGTGCTTTAATTCATGGTCTGTGTTCATACCACTCATAAATCCTCCCCAGCTACATGTACACAAAGCTGGCATTGATTTCAATCATGCTGCGATTCCAGCCCTGGCTTGGGGGAATTCCCTGCCAACTCTCAGCTCGGCAGGACCCCCCTTTCTTCTCCAAGACCACCACGCAGCGGCAGGACTTTTCATGCGGTGAGGAATGAGACTCGTGCTTCAAGTCATGTCTCTGACAAATAAGCCTTTCCCTCCTTCCCGCTCCCCCCCAATTTCTCTTCCTGTTATTTTTCATCTCTCCTCAAGTTTGGCTCTGGAAAGCAAACTCAGGTTAGGCTGTGAGAGCATCGGTCCCACTCCTGAAGGCACTAGAGGTGCTTGGGGCAAGGCTTTGCTCAAGGCCCATGTGCAGAGGGGGATGGGACAGAGGGGAATTGCTTCGGACTGAGAGAGGGTAGGTTTAGATTCGATATTAGGAAAAGATTCTTCCCTGTGAGGGTGGTGAAACACTGGCACAGGTTGCCCAGAGGAGCTGTGGTTGCCCCATCCCTAGAAGTGTTCAAGGCCAGGTTTAGCAACCTGGTCTAGTGGAAAATGTCCCTGCCCATGGCAGAGTGGCTGGAACTAGATGATTTTAAGGTTGCTCCATGGTTTTTTTCCAGGCAGCTCTTTGGGAATGATCTATAGGAGAGGTGCTATGTCTTGTTATGTGGGATTAGGGTCAACTAATGAGTATTGCTCAGGGTGCCAATGGCTTCCTGCCCACCCAAGCCCCGTAGACAGCCACCTCTGAATACCAGCACCCAGGCTCTGTGCAGCAGCCATCTCTACTTGAAGAAAAACATCAAGCACTTCTGCAGAAAGAGATGAAATAATATTTGATCAGTTATGGAGGGGAAAAAGGAAGTCCTGGGGCAATTAGTTCTCTTCTTGCCAAGCTAACCAGCCTTGCTTTTCCTGGGAGACATGCTCTGTAAAAACATGGGCTCAATGTTTGGACAGATCCTTTCAGTGTGTTCTCCAGGGCAGAAATATCCAGTGATAGGAAAAGTCTTGTTTGCCCTAATTTAGCTGGTCTGTCCTTAGGACTTTGAGAAACAGCTCACCATGGAAAGGGTGCTTCACCAGGGAATATGTGTGGGCTTCAGCAAGGATGATTGTTTTTGCTGGACTCTGCTATCCAGAGATGAAGGAAACATTTGGTTCCTCTGGGGAAATGTCTGTTTTAATCACTCTGGCTTCTCTGTGGAGAAAAGCCTGGTGCAGGCTGGGCTGCTGCAGAAGGGTGGGTGTCACCCATGGGGAGACCTAAGAAGAGGTGGGGTAAGAATTACTGCTGGGCATGGTGGGGCTCAGTTTTGCTTGCCCCAGGTGTGAGAAGACACCTGAGAACGTGTGTGAGGGGGTTGGAACTAGGTGACCTTTAAGGTCCCTTCTTAAACCATTCTAAGATTCTATAAGCTGCCATGTATATGGACATCATGTGGGCACAAATGGTGCTGCAGGGGCACCCATGCCGAGGGCAAGTGCCATTCTTTCACTCACAAAGCAAACCAAAGCTGATCATTCCTATTCTAAACCCATCCTAAACGTGCCACAGTGTGGGCATTTGTGGTTCAGGGAACCACGGGTGAGGTCGGGGAGTGCTGGACAGGCTCAGCCCTGCCCAGGTGAGGCTCTCCCCGCCCCGGGGGCAGACCCAGGCTTGGCCTAGGTGTGTTTAGGGCTTGCCCCGCCTCACCTGGCGTGGCTGCAGGACGGGCAGCGGAGCAGGGAGCAGCTGTGGGAGACTCCGGCTGGAGACAGGGCAGGGAACATGCTGCTGGGCTGAGCCGCTGGAGCCGGCATGGAGCAGCAAGGGATGGACGTGGTAACTATTGGGGCTCCCCTTTCTACCCTCACCACAGCAATGGGTTCTGTCTCCTCTGCACCTGGCCTAGGTGAAAGATTTGCTGCTTGGTTTTCTGCTGCTGCTTCCTAGCTTGGGGCTGTTCTCTCCATGGAATGCCGGGAGCAGTTCATCCCGGGAGTGAGTTACACTCTCTCATCACTGCTCTGCTCTGGGCGGAGACCACACAGACACTGCTTTTCTGCCCCAAAGCAGGGGCTGAGGGGCTCTCACTGCCCCCTTTCATTCCTCCTCACTCTGAGATGAGCTGCAGTTGTGCCTCTTAATTTAATAAAAAGTATAGTTAGATTTTTTTTTTTTCCTGGGAGAAGCCGGCTGGTTAATGAGTCGATGGTATCTGCAGCGTGCTCTCGTCAGCGTGCCCGGGGTGCCTGGGCTTGACTCCAGCAGTCCCACGGCAGGGCAGAGGGCAGTGCTGATTAAACATTTACCCACCGGAGCTCCCTTGGGAATCAAGATAAAGAATTGAGTAAACCAGAAGAATTCCAGGAGGGGAACAGGCTCTTGGTTTCTCTTGGCTATCCTGTGTGCCACGTTCTTAATGGGGTTTCTCTTCCTGTGTCGATTTGTTTTAGAAAAGCAGCTTCAGAAAACTAAGGAGAATTAATTCTATTTAGTTAGTTAATGGGGAATAGCTCTGGGGTGACCTTATTGCACCCTTTCAGTACCTGAAGGGGCTACAAGAGAGCTGGAGAGAAACTTTTGTCAAGGACCTGGAGTGACAGAACAAGGAGGAATGGCTTCAAACTGACAGAGGGCAGGGTAAGATTAGATATTAGGGAGAAATTATTCACTGTGATGGTGGTGATGCCCTGGCATAGGTTGCCTAGAGAAGCTGTGGATGCTCTATCCCTGGAAGTGTTCAAGGCCAGGTTGGATAGGGCTTGGAGCAACCTGGTCTAGTAGAAGGTGTCCCCTGCCCATGGCAGGGGATTGGAACAAGCTGATCCCTAAGATCCCTTCCAATCCAAACCATTCTGTGATTCTATAATTCAGATTCCTTTTGGTTAGACCTTGATATAAGCACAAACCTCCTGCTGCTGCTCCTTCTAAAAGGTACCCTTATCATAGGCTTAAGCTGAGCTTTATTTTGCTTCCTAGACTGATCTTAATGTTAGAAGAGCATTTTATTTTTAGGCAGAAAATATGGGAAGTTTAGCTGCCCCTTGACTCCATAATGCTCCTGTCCCCTGACTCTTTAATGCTTTCTGGCCAGTGGAAGTTTGTTTCCTTTTTACTCTCTCCCCCTCTCATCTTGCGTGGGCTTTTGCCAAATGTAGTATTATTCACAGTCAATTATTTGGCCAGATGTAGCTGAAATACACATTGTGAGCAGTTGGCAGCCCTTTAAATTTATTAGTGTATTCTCCTCGCTTTCAACTGGTCTGATTTTCAGGGGACCTGAGCCCTCCCTGCGCTGATGGGACACCAGGACTGGGATTTCACATGTCCTGCCTGTGACCTACTCAGCGCTATGTTTAAGCTGAGCATCTCCCTGGGCCAGGTTAAGGTGTGTGGGTTGAAGTGGAGAGTTGCTTGGATGGGTTTGTGGTTTGAAACAGTCCCAGCTCCGATGGAAAATCATCCCTGCAGAGACCGGGAGAACTCATTGCACCTTGGAGGGTCTGGCTAAGCTCAGCCCTGTGCAAGGAAACAGCATTTGCAGAAGCTTTCTGGGGAGGGATGGGTTGTCCAGCTGGATGTGGGTGTGCAGGAGGTGGCCATGGTGTGCAGTTTAACCCCATCCTGTGAATATCCCAATAGGCTGCAGTCTGGGGAAACTATATTCCAGTGAGGGGCACTGAGATTACATTAAGCACAGATAATCTTCCACTTAATTAGCCCAATCATTTGAAGCTGCCATTTCAAGGCAAGAGGAACAAAAACTTGAGGGAGGAAAAGGGAAGCTTGTATCCATCCCTCTTTAATTAAACTTAGTGCCAAGCTCATGACTGTCACAGACGGTGCCTGACCAAAAACCCCATGTCTCATGAGCCCACCTTGCCTAGGGCACGTTGAGACATGTAGGTACTTTTTCTTTCCTCTTCTCTTTGTCTCTGAGGGCATTGATGAGGAACTGTGTGCTACAGTAAAGAAAATCAGTGTGGGGAGGTAAACAGCATTGAACTCTTCAACTGTTGCTGCAGCACGTGCAAAAGCTTGGTGCAATTGCATTTAGGGCACCTAGCTGCTTTATTTCCTGTCTGGCATTGCTGGAGGGATCAGGTACATGTGGGACTATTTTTTTTCCAAAATCTGATTCATCCTCCGTGTGCTTCTGAAAGCTCCCATTCCCATCGGCTCGCCCCTAGATTAGGCTGTCTGGGCAGCTCACACAGCATCAAGATGCTGACCACTAATATGAAATATAATTGGAGCAATTCAAACCTCTCCCCCAAGGGTTGGTTCTTTACATCATGCACTACCCTGTGAAAGTAATAAAGTCAGTGAAAGGGGTTATTCAAGAGAAATTGTCAGTGTTTAATAAATCGTGCAATTAAATGCAATAAAACCTCAGTATGCTATTCATCTGTTCTGTCTTAACACTTAAGGCTGGGGCTTTTTTCAGAATAACGAAGTTCTGTCCTAGATAATTTTTTCCAATTTCCTCATTAGACAGGTTCTCCTGAAGCCTTACAGTTCTCTGCACTGAACTAAGCTGCCAGAGCAGTGCACCTAATGTAATCATGGCATATAAAAAGTTATAGAGCAGTTCAAGGACTTAAGTAGCTCATAAATTTTTCTTCATATTTTCTCCCTAGTTCAATTCAGGGCTGAATTTAAGCCACAACACTGCAGGCAAAAATTGTGGTCCTCTTTCTCCGGCATGGGATGGTGAGACACCAGGGAATGAAGGCCTGAAACAAAATGTTCTTTAAGTGTTCTTTTGAACTGCACTGTCACTGATTAACTCTCTTCAAAATCATATATTAGCTGGGGTCTGGTGTGGGAGAGGAATTGAGTATTGTAGCCAGTATTCATCACCTGCACTGAGAGATGCTTTTGCTGTCATTGTGTACTACTGGTTGGGTGGTATGTCCTCTGCTTCCTGGATGGGAATAAAGGCAAGGGGAGAAGCATCCAAAGAGCCTTGGGGACCTGAGTTGAACCAGCACTGGGGAGGAAGAATATTTTGTCCCAGGGGTCATTTGGAGCCTGCCAAGGAGGATGTTTGGTGCTTCTCTTTCCATGGTGGAGTTTTCTAAAGAAGGCAGTGGATGGAATGGGGATCTGTGGAGCAGCAGTGGCCTCTCCCATTTTGTGTTTGTGTACTAAAAATAAAGTGGAGCTTTCCTACCCAACAGGTGCATAAACAGTATAGCAGCACCTCTGCCAGGAAGCTAAACATTAAATTTAGTGTTTGCCAGGTCCTCCTGGGGGAGATTCTCCATCACTGGGTGACACTAGGGAGAAGCAGGCATCTCCCCTGGTCCTGCTGGCTCTGGTTGTGTTTCTGTGCTCTGCTCCTGTGTTTTCCTCCTGTCTCAGCTCTTTTGCCTTAATAAGAAGTGATTTGTGAGCCTTTGGAGGATCCATTGAAAGAGCTAATTCTCTCTACTGCTTTTAAATTTTCACCAGGATTGGCACATCCTTGGTGACCAGAGTGGAGTCTGCAGCCTATTTCTGTCTGAAACCATCATGATTGTATAAATTGCCAGTTGCCACCTCTGTAAGCAGATATTTTGTGCTCTCCTCTTTCCCCTCACCCAGGAAGGTGTGACTGATTTCAAAGCCCTCCGAGCAAAATTTCAAAATGACTCTGACTTGGCTAACAAGCTGGCGCAACCACTCAAGAAGCCTTCCACTGAGATCACGTCCAAGCTGGGCTCTGGAGGGAATGCTCTGTCCAGTCCTCCGCCCCCGAGTAAGAGAGGTGTGAAAATAATAAAACCTGCCCATCCTGCCTCCCAACCCTCTGTGCTCACCCAACACAGCCCCTTAGCATGGCCTCGAGCCAAGCTGGGTTACGTGGAGCCAATGGGGGACAACAAAGAGCACGAGGGCAACATCTCAGGGAAAGGGCTGAGTTCTCCCCAGAACAGTTCAGAAAAGCCTCTGTTGTCGTGTAGCACTGATCAGCAAGGATCAGGCCAAACAGCTCCAGTGGACCCTCAGCTCCCAGATTCCTTCCACCACATCCTACAGATCTGGGAAGAGACTTTATGCTGCAATGAGAAAGCAAGTGCAAAACTCCCAATGCAACGGGCAGCAAACTTAGACATGCACCCTTGTCCGAAGCAGAGGGTGACACGTGCTCCTGTTCCATGGGACAGTGACAGGATGCAATCCTCTGGAAACAAGGCTGTGCTGGACTGGCATGCCAAGAAGAAGGATGCTCTGCATGGCAGTGGGACAGCTCTTCCCCAGGCTCCCAGAGGACACAGGAACTCTGATGCGGCAGGTGCTGAGGGCGCGGTGGCAACTGCATTCTGCCAGGCAGGTTATCGTCCACCAAGAGAGAAACCTCAGCACCAGAAAGGTACAGTAAGGTATATTCTTCACACTGAGTATATATATAGAGAGAGACTATTTACAAAGGCATGTAGCGACAGGACAAGGGGGGAATGACTTCAAACTGAAAAAGAGTAGGTTTAGATTAACTATTAGGAAGAAATTCTTCCCTGTGACGGTGGTGAGGCACTGGTACAGGTGACACAGAAGCTGTGGCTGCCCCATCCCTGGAAGTGTCCAAGGCCAGGTTGGATGGAGCTCTGAGCAACCTGGTCTAGTGGAAGGTGTCCCTGCCCATGGCAGAGGTTGGAATGAGATGATCTTTAAGGTCTCTTCCGACCCAGGTCATTATATGCATATGTGTTCTGGAAGTACGGGGTACAGCAGCTGGAGAGAAAAGCTGTTAAAAGTCAGGACCTTCAAACAAGAGGCCAAACTGGTCCATTGGAATGTTTTTTTCTTTCTCTGGAGGTTCTCGAGATAAGAATGGGTCCCAAACTGCTGCTGAACTTGGTAAGGGGAGGATCTCCATCTCCACCAATTTTTTTAAAACTCACTTAAGGAAATTGTCCACATTATGAGAATAGGATGAAGACTGAGGACAGGGGAGTATCTTCAGTTTTGGTCTGCTTTGGCCTTTTTCAGTCACAAGATAAATGTGACTGGACCTTCTCTTCAGTTTCACACAGACATAAAAAGACTTGGCTCATCTGCAAAGACAGTTTAATTCTAATTAAAATGGCTTAAACCTGAATTCCCCCCTCTACACCCTCCCAGCTGTGCAGAAGGTCATATTTAAGCTCAGAGAACATATTTCTTAGAGAAACTGGTGCTAGGAAACTCAAATGCTGCAAAGGTGCCCTTGTTAACGTCACACTGGGTGACAGGGCACTGAAAAGCTTAAGTCTTTGTTTACCCTGGAAAGCCACCTTGCTTGGACTGAACGCTGAAAACAGCCACGCCACTAAATCCTGGTGGATTAAGCTGTTATCAGTACAGAAAACTGGGCTAGTATTTTATAATCCAGAGGAAGGGAGCTGTCGAGAGCTGAGACCCCAACATGGTTCACTTTGTAAAAATCTGTAAAAATGGACATTTCCATTTACTTTGCCATTCTGGTAACATGGCAAGAGACCTGCTGTGTAATGAGGATGCTGAAATTGGGAAGAAGCAAAGTTGGTTAGAAATGTGAGTACAACAACTAATGATCCTATGTGGATTTTTGCTTAAATGAGGGCTAATTGGTGCCTGTCCTTGTGCTTCTCTGGAGCAGAATTGGAGCCTCCCTTCTGCCAGCCCAGAGCAGGAAAACGGTCTTACAGCCCCAGGAACAAGTGGCCAAGAATTAAACCTCTCCCTTCAGCTGAATCCCTGGGTCCTGCCCCTGGGAAGCCTCCAAGACCCCCAAAGTTTGACCTCGGTGCTTTCCGAAGCATCCTGCCTTTGGTCCACAGAGGAAATGAAACAAGTAAGAGATCTCTGGTCTTTCTCTCCAAACTTGTTCTGTAGAAAATGAATAATAATTTGCAGTTTATTGATATCTATTAGGCCATGATTCCAAGCCCACAGTTACTTGTTTATAACTTCTTCCTCGAACATTAACAATACCCCAGCAGTTTCAGTGGGGCTGATTTTTGCTCTTAATCTGGAAAAGGGATCTGCTTTTCCAGGCTGGACGCCATCCCACATGCAGAAACCCGCTTCCCTCCCAAGTGCAGCGTGTTGTGAGTGGTTTACAGCTGGCTGTAAAGCAGCAGCAGCTGCCTACGAGCTGAGCTGATCTTTATCACTCCTCTTCAATGGGAAATGCCTTGACTCTGGAGCACAACTGTGGGAAGGCACAATAAAATTGTTAGAAAATAGTCTGCTAATCCCCCCCACTTCTGTTTTAAATACAACAGAGGGCAATGTTGCTAAGTGTTCCAACATCAAGAAATGCAAAAGTTCAGTTTCCCATAATAAAACCCTATTGATGTTGTATAATAGAATATTTTGGACCACTTATTAAGCTGCTAAGTGGTGTTTCTTTATAGATACAGGCTTAATTATAGCCAGATTTTTAGACACAACTTTTGCTGAATTCCAAGGGAGCTCCTTTCGTAAGAAGGGCTCTGCTGAAGTCTCTTTGGCTTTAATGTGCCAGCACTTATTGGTGTGCCCTGGCTGTGATAAGAATAAGAGGGAAAGAGAGTTTTTCACTGAAACTCTTTTCTAACCTACTTGCCATTTCTAAATATATGAATTTGATGGAGGGAACTAGTTCCATTTATGTGTCATCATCTCCATGCCCTCTCCATATTGCTCAGTTATCGATCTCTAGAAAGCTTGGGGTTGTTGCCTGGGAACATGAAATAATGACATATTAACACAGCCAGTTTCTGCTGGCAATCTTATTTCACGCCTGCCTTTGTGTGCAGCGTGCTGCCTGAGGAAGGGCAGTCCCTGTCACACCTCCCATGGCTGCAGCTGGTGTTCTGTGGGAGAGCAGGATTGCCTTCAAATACTAATCCTCTGTGTGTTTGTGTGCAGCTGCTGGTGAAGAGGATTACTTGAGCCCTGAAAGGTGAGCCTGTGGGAAGGCAATGTGTGGCTTGTAGGTGACAGGAGCACCCCCATCCCATGATCTCAAGCATTTCAGTTCAGTCTGGAGAGAATGACTGACTCACAGAGGCAGCAACTTGCTCCAGGGGTTGTTCAAGTAAATGAAAGTGTTCAAGGCCAGGTTGAATGGGGCCCTGAGCAACCTGGTCTAGTGGAAGGTGTTCCTGCTTATGAGGGGTAGGATTGGAACTAGATAATCTTTAACTAGATCTTTAACTAGGTCTTCCATCCCAAACCATTCTGTGTTTCTGTGCTTGTAGAAACACAGAATAGCAGAACCTACATGGGAAACTCAAAGCTGGCTGGGATGACCTTCTCCTAAAGGAAAAAGCTTCATCCCTATTTTTTCCTCTTGGCTGTTAAAGCCACATGGAGAACCATATCTATGTGTCTTTAGGTCTGGTTTAGCTAGTGGAAAGGAAAACACTGCCAGTGCTTTGGTTGCAAAGTCATCAACTCCCACATGTTTTTTGCTTCCTGTTTTCCATATACTCAAGTTCCGTGTTTTTAGAAAAGAGATGCTTTTGAGAACTGTTGCTGAAACAAAGCCCTGGTGTAACCAGCAGGTGTTTGGATTTTCTTTGCCAGCAGTGAAGGAGTTTGCTCTCCTGCATGATTCTATGGTCCTATGTTTGTGCAGTCAGCACAACCAGGGTACAGGAGTCACTGCCCTCCCTCACCATGGCAAACTCTTCAGCTGTTTCCAGATGCTGAAGTGAGATTTTTATTGAGTGGTGGTCCAAATCACTGGAGTTTGTCTGAAATGGCTCAAAAATCTTACAGACACAACTTCTCTGTGCATGGGGATCCTGACTTTTTCTAATGTGTCTGTGACTTGTCCTGAGTGGTTGTGTAGTGGTCCTAGTTTTGTGCAACAAGAACAGAAAAATTGGAGGAAAATATTCATATGCATGTTTTGTCTTGGCTGTGAAAAAGGGAAATGGAACAGCTGAACCAGAGCAAAGGGAGGGGAATTCTTAAAATGCTTTCTGTGTCCAAACAACTCCTGCAGCTATCAACACAGCAAGTTATTCTTGACATCATGAGGTGTTCCTGCCAGCATTGGCTGGTGTTAACTTTTAACCTGTACTTGTCAGAAGAGGACTGGTCAAATAGGAACCAGCTCCACAGCTGTCGTGCCCCACAAGGAAGCTGTTCTAGTAATGCATTGCAGCAAAATTAGTGTTCTTGCTCCAAAACTTGTGATATGGTCTTTACAATAGGTCACTTGTTAAATATTAACGATATGATGACTGGGGAAATGAATTAAATAACTCCAGCATAAAAGCAAAATCACAGCGTTTTGGGGATGGAAATTCCCCTCATCGAAGCCTCACCTGGAATGAAATCTGGTCTCTTAGACACCCTGACGTAGTAACTTGGGCCGACTAATCTTGAGCTCTTACTGCTTGTTTGGGGATAAACACTCTGCCTTCACTGATGCTATTCAGGGATCCTTCAGCCCAGCTGTATTTCGGATCTGGCATGGCACTGTGGTTTATATAAAGGGCTGTCTGATGTCCAGCCAACCTCCCAAACGAGGATGTGGTTTATTCCGGGGTCGGGCTGGGGAAGTGAACGGTCAGGGGTTTTCCTGGTCTCCTCTTCATCAAATGATGGCACTGGGGACAAAATACCTGCTTGCAGTATTGACGCAATATGTATGTGTGTGTGTCCCACTCAGTGGGACCTACATGTCCCAAGCATGCTGTGGAACCAGAAAGATGGCAGGCACTGTCCCCGGGCTGCAGGGGAGAGCAGGGGGCTGAGGCAGCCTTTGGTATCAGCACAACCTTCTGCTTGACTTTAGGTGTTGTTTCTTACTCCAATTTCACTACTGTTAAAGTGCTCCTTCAGTGCCTTGTTCCTCAGGTTCTGGTTTACACTTAGTCCTTACTCTGAGTTGTGACAGTTGGGTGATTCCGGGAAAGCTGGACGCTCCCTGAGGTTTTTTATATAGTCTTTCAGTTAAAAGAAGGAAGTTCTTGCTAGAATTCTTCCTGGTGCTCTTTTCTCACCATACCCTGTCGCCCAGGTGTGTTACAAGCTGTGTCTTGTGCATTTGCTGCTTCCTGGTACATTCCTGAGATGCCAAAAACTCTGCCACTGTAGGTAGAGGGGAAGACTTAGGGATTTGCCTGGGTAATTCAGGAATGCTTGGCTTTCTCTCTGCAGCTATTCCCACATGACACTAATGTGAATTTCTGGAGGAAGAAAGGAAGAAAGGAGAATAAGGAGGTGGGAACTGGACTGGGAAACCCAATACTTGAGGCTTTGTGGTGCTGGAGCTGTGATGCCTTGTCTCCTCCTGTGGCTGGCATGTGCCACTTGCTGTGCTGGCATGGAATGATTGGCTTGATAAGCTCAGAAGCAAGACCTTTAAACATACCCTCTGATACCTCTGCTTTCCCCTTTGTGTTTCCTTCCATGCGAAGCAGCGTGCCGAACAGTGCAACTAAGTTGTTACCTATTGCAAAATACCTGAGTAGGCTTGAAAAAATGCTGTGCTCCAATTTTCTTGGATTTTTTTGTTCTGTTTCTACTTGAGGGATTGCTGTAGGCAGAAGACTATAATCCTAGTATGACGTCTCCTGATGTGCTTTGAGCCCTATAAATGCAGCCTGTCCTCCCCAAGGAAAAGCAGTGGGAGTGTGGAGTTGGGGGTAAGGTTCAGCTGAGCCCTACATCTGGCACAGGGCTCTCCTCTCCCTCCGAGGAATTCCTCATTTCACTTTGCTTTTTTGTAGGCTCAGTATCAAAGCACTTGAATTCCTTGTCCTTAAGAGGAATTTTTTTTTCATGCTTCTAAAAGGGACAGAAAAAAAAAAAATCTCTCTTTTTCATCTTCTCAGTGCTCAACTTGAAGAGCAGAATAATTATGAAGAAACCCCGATGTACCTGAATCAGTCTGGGGACACCACAACCTTGTGTGTCATTGAAGGTACTTTTCAAGGTAAGACTGCTAGGTGAATAACGTGCTCTCTGGGATAAGGCATTAAAAAAGGAAATAATAGAGTTTCTTCAAGTTGAGAAAAGCAGCTGCACATTGTTCCAGGTGACCAAGGATAACTCTCTGTACAGTTACTCTGTGCACTGACAGCATGTGAAGACTCTGGGGCCCAGACAAGACAGAAGTTAGTATTTTGGTGGTGAAATAATGCTTATAGTAAAACAGCAGGGGGGAAAATCATGATATACTACCCATGTAGAAGAGAAGGAAAAGAAGATAGTGAGGCAAACCTCGGCATCTTCTTGGGAACAGAAGGGCACAGAGTACAGAACTTTTCCATCTCCGTCAATGTTTTTTCCCAGTATAATTTTCTCCATCAAAGGGGCCACTGCTCCACTTTTACATTTTTCAAGGTTGCCTCTTTTTGGGAGGTTAGTTTCTGCCACGCGCGTTGTTTTTCCCTCCCGTTGGAACAGGAGCCAAACAATTTCCTTGGGGGATCCTGCCACAGCCCTCTTGGGTTTTCATATGAAAACTGTGGCCGGTCAATCTTGGTGCTGCAGTTCTCTGCATGCAAGCAAACGCTTAATGGCAAATAGGACCCTGGCCAGTAGGACATGGTAAATGTCCCATGGTGCATGTGTGCCTGGATGCTGAGTATCCCAACTGAAGTTGTTTTGCAACTAAAAGTGCAGTGACTTTAACGCAGGCTAAAAAGTAATATATGTTCGTAAATATCTTTTCCAGTACCTAAGACAGAGCCTCAGGAGCACAAGGTAAGTGTTATCACACAGCCAGTTTTGGTCTCACAGTCTTGACTGCACCATACTTTCCTGTCTTGAAAATTTTCAATATCTGTATTTCTTACGTGCCAAGAGTTTCTTTGTGTGTTGTCTGTGAAGACTCTCAAAAAATAAATAAGAAATTGCAGAGGGGACACAAAGAGTAATGAGATTCCCAAACATACTAGTGGGAAGAGTCAGTTCCCTTCAATTCCACTGCATATATGTAAGGAAGTGGTAACACCATCTGGATGTTGGTGGTAGACCAAGTAAGTGTCACACACTGATAGTAAGATCATGAATTCTTGGAGGGAAAACCCACTGAATTATTCTGGAAGTTCCTGCCAAAGACGAGCTGGTGCTGGTAGTCCCTCTGTGAAGGTGTAAAAGCAAAATTGAGCCTGCTTGCTTGGCATGGCAGAAGGCTTAGAATTTTGGCTCAGAAGCGAGGGCAAGTGTTGTGGGCAAGACTGTACACGTTTTCATCCCCTGCTGCAGGGATATCTCTGCTGCAAACTACAACTTTTCATTTTACCTTGGCTGCAAAGGGGTGGCAGTGCATCTTGGCAGTGGTAATATTCTGCAGGGAAGGCAGGATTGTGCATTGCACAGGGCAGGAGTTGCTGCAGCTATTCCTAGAGCAGACTGGCTTGGCTGCATGGACGAGCTCACAGCGGGTAGCTGGGCCGAGAGAACACATCACCTCTTGCCAGGAGATGACCATGTACTGGGTATCAGTTCTGGCCCTGCTAAAAGAGAGAAAACTTTGGAAAGTGTCAAACCCCACTGTCAAATCCTGACTTGCAAAGCAATCAAATTGCCCAGAAAACAGCACAGGTTTCCAAATGCACTTATTTGTGTGTGATTTGCAAGGAGGTTCTCTGGCTTGGCTTTGGTCTCATTTTATGGTAGGTTGGGAAATCTTTATTTAAGTAAAAAAACTTGCTCCTCTTCTGTAAGCTCTCCAGTCTGTAATAGCTTTCATGCTGACCAGCAGCTTCACTCTTGCACTGTTATATTATCCCTATATAGTTTGTCAATATGTGTGTCCCTTGTCCTGCGAAGTAGAGGAAATATCCTTGACTGATGATTATTCCAAATGTAAAATGCTTCTGGGCTTTCTAAAGAAATATTTCTTTAAATACTAGATGACAGTTGAGGCCTTGTATAAAAGGTTGACTGCTGAGAAAAGCACAGTGGCTGAAGGCTTTCCTCTTCTTTATTCTAGAAACGGAAGATTTTTCCTTTTGCCAAATACAGGTAATTTCCTTTCCATTCTCTCAATCTTCTTCTAGCCCCACAACTAACTCAGGTTAGGAATTGGATATTGTAACAATCAGTAAATAGAAAGAAATTTCATATATTTCATGACCAGCGCAGACAATGATGCTTTTCTGTGTCAGCACTCATGATTTCTAAGCATAACTGGAGGGGAGATTTTCTTTTCTCCTCTGGGACACAAGAAGATACATGGTCTTTTCCTACTGTAACCTGAAGTCTTTCAGCATAAGCAGGAGAGTTATGAGGCTCTCAATCTGGAATGCCTGGTTCCAGGTCCAAGGCTGTGTGGGTAAGGCAAGGTCTTACACTGAATTTCACTCTGTGAATGTCATGCTTCAAACTCCTTGCAGTGTATAATTATTGTCACTGTCTGAAGGCTGGTTTTTGTTGTTTGGTTGTTTGGTTTTTTTTTGATGGGGATTTTAGAGTCATGAGATAAAAGGGAGTCACTTCAGTGGGAAAATTTGATGCTGGGGAAAAAAAAAAGGTATCAAGTTTTGCATACTGTTGCTGTATCTTCTTCCCTAAATCTATGGTGAGAAGTACCTCTTGTGAGCCAGGTGCCCCCACCAGCAAATGGATCTAACTTGTCCATTCCTGCTATGAGGAAACAATCTCATTAGTTTATTTCCCTTCCAAGAATGATTGCTATTATCCCTGACTATCTGCTGACTTAGATTTGGATTTGCCCTTACTTTTAGTACTGGTGGTCTTTTGGGCACCTACCTCATTCAGAGGGGAAAATGAGCTGCCTACTTGGGCACTGTCATAAACCAATGTGTTTGCAACTTTGCTAAAGTGTCTGTGTTCTGAGATCTTTCTCATTTCTGAAAATTTCAGTTCTGAAAGAGCTACAGTAGAGGATGAAAAAGAGGGGAAACCAAGTCATGAAAGAGAGAAACTGGAAGTGAAAAAAATTTTCAAGGTATTGTAATCCTTGAGATTAATTTTAATAGTTATTATAGGGTTTCTTCTCCTTCTATCCTCCCTGTCTTTGGGTAACAGTTGAAACTTGAGCCCTTAATCCCTTTTTGATCCCTTCTCTTTTGCCTCTTCATCCCTCAGCTGCTACTGCCTAAAAATCAGGTGGTGCTGCCAGGCAGCACCTGTGTCTACCACAAATCCCTGATGGAAAAGGGCATGAAACTGTTTTAAGTCCACAAAAACATATATTCTTATATATATGTGAATTATATTAACTTATATTAGAAAACTGTTTCTAAAGACTGTATGGACTAAAGCAAATGTTTGATCTCAGACAGGTGGAAATGAATACATGTCTCCCAGTAGTCAAACCAAGAAAGATGGCAGAGATGGGATGAAGGTCCTGCAAGGGAAGCAGGATGTGACCAGTACCCTGCCTGCAAAGTATCCTACCCTACAAGGGCTGGCAAAAGACAGACCCGAGCTCTGTGAGTATCTCATTGCCGTTGAGTGTTTCCTCAATCCTCAGTCCCATCTGTTGCCCAAATGTCTCTTCCATGTGGGAAATAATAATGTTAAATTTGGATGCAACTCTTGAACCAATTTAGTTAAACCAGGGCAAAAGGTTGCATGAGCATTTGTGTTCTGGTCTGAATCATTTATTTTGGCTTTGCAAATAGCTTCCTAAGTTGGTTAACCATCTGCGTAACTCAAACCAAGGTGTTTGTTTTTCTAGCAGATTGCCCTTATCCAAGAGAGCTGAAATCCACTCCTCTGCTTCTCACAATTTATTGAGTCTCAGAAAAGGGTTTGGCTAAGGCTTGTGGTAGAAACAACGTGAGCAGAATGAGAGCCTGAAGGCTCCCTCTGTCCCTTAGTAGGATGAATGATGATTCCTTGCTCGATCTTTTGTGGCACCAGGCTGACTTTCGCCTTCTTTGGTCACAATACCCTCAGATAGTGACTGGAGCTGGTGATATGTGCCTTAGCTGCACAATTAAACCCAATCACATCTTCTCTGTAAACACTATTTTGCAGCTTCAGGTACAAATGTTTATGGGCTCTATTCTGCACAGCCTTACTCTTACCTCTGCAAGCCATTAGTGTGATATGGCAGCATTTTAAAGATGAAAGAGAGCAAAGTAACTCTATTGGGCTCTGTGGACAGACCAGGAGTGTGAAGGAGAAAGTGTAAATTGGCTGTGACTGTGGTTATTTTTATTGGTGTGGTTCTCGGGTATTATTTTTTTTAAATTTTAAATCACCTCATAATAATTTTCTGTTTCGGTTGGCGTCTGTTTTTGTAAGAAATCTTGCTGGCTTGCTTCACCTTTGAACAGCTGGAGGTGATTTCAGTTGAGATTTTTTTTTTTTCAAAGTACTCATGGTGAGCCTCCTGCTATTGCTTCAACAGAGAGGTTGATTAGGAGAATTGTTAGGTCCCTCTCCTGCCTCCTTATCTTCTTCATGGGGTTTGAAAGTTTTGCAGAAGTTGTGGTCCATAACTAGACCATATTGAGGTGGTGCATGTTTCCAGTGAGATCTACTGCATGAATCATAGAATGGTTTGGGTTGGAAGGGACCTTAAGGATCATCTCATTCCAACTTCCTGCTGTGGGCAGGGACACCTTCCACTTGACCAAGTTGCTCCAAGCCCCTTCCAACCTGGCCTCGAACACTTGGTGTGTTCATTTTGACACACTATCTGCTTGTGTTTGTCTGGCTGCATTTCTACATTACTCCAGCTCTCTTAAATCAATTTTAAGGATTTAATATTGCCACTTAACAGAGTTCTCCAGTAATAATCTTCTTCTAACCTCATGAGGTGCAACTCTGATGCTTGATTCCATCCCTCAGTGAGATACATCTCTGGGATACTCATCCTCCTTGGCTTCTTTCTGGGATGTACTCCAATGGACGGGTACATTGTTTAAATCCATTCTGAAAAAGCCATGCTTTCCCTTCAATCATTTCTCCAAACATCCATGAATAGTCTCTTGGGATGCTTTCTGGTGAGAAGGATTTGAGAATATCAATGGACTTTTTAATTTTTGTAAAATCTGTAATATTTTATGACTTTAAAATGTTTTAAAGGTAAATGTTTTAAAACTTAGAAGCTTTTAAAATCCTTAACTTTTGCTTCTCAAAGTGAGTCAGAGTAGAGCCTTTCCTTGACTCCTGGAATGGAAAATATAAGTTGTGTTACCCTCAACAGTTGTTCATGTCCTGAGAGAAGTTCCTCAGAAAAGCTCCTAAAGCAAAAGTCCTTTCTCATTTCCAGTGCACAGCATGGATGTTGGTGCTCCAAAGCCAGGGATAGAAAGAACAGCCTTGAACCAAAACACTTGGCAGCCTCTGCAGGCACCAGAAGATATATACGATGATATTGCGGAATTGCAAGATGGACTGTGAGTATGGACCTGGGCTCTTCACAGTGCCTGTGTCTATGAAATGTCATTTAAAAACTGCTGCAGTAAATCCCCATGTCATACTTCTGTCTTCTAGCAGCTACGGGTCAAATGCCTCAAGTTCCTTCACTTCAGACAGCTGTAAGTGCAGCATGTGGGGAAGCTCAAACAGGAGCTGCTTTTAATTTGGGCTGGTCCCTGGGAGATGATGAGATTAACTTTCAACATCTATAGTGTCTCATTCTGGCCTGGTTGCTCTAAATTCTCATTAACACTGGGGGGGAGTAATATACATGTCTAGCATGGAATTCATTTGAGCTGACCTTGAAGCCTCTGTAAGAGTAAAACGTAAAAAGTCTGGGTGCAATTTGTCCAGCAAACCTCACCTCACCTCATTGCTACTGAGCGTGGTTTGTGATAATGGCATCCCTTGGTTTAAAGTTTCAGGAAACAGCTACGAGGAAACATATGAAGATGTTGAGATTGGAGGTGATAATCCAGCAAAACCAGAGTAAGTTGCAATTTCTTAGCCTGTATTTTGAAATACTGGCCATACATCCTTGATCTCACATGTCAGGTACTGGCTGGAAGCCTTTTTTTTTTTTTAATGCAACTGCAGAAAAGTTGTTGTATGGGTGGGTTTCTTCCCCCTCTTCCTCCTTCTTTCCTTTTTGGCTGATACTTAGGGAGCAAAAAGTAGTTACCAAACTTAAATCCCTAAGCAATGAGGGCTTTCTTTTTTCTTGTAGCACTCCCCATCCGTTGGAAGTATTGCCCTTACAGACCTCTCCTTGCATCAAACACACAGGGCAGTCTCACTTGCCTTCTTTTGGTTAAAAGTGTTGCTCAGCCGTAGCTGAGAAACGGCACATTTTTGTGTGTGTCAAAAGAGGGAATGCTCAAGGGACAAATTGTCCCCATAAAACAGGACAATTTGAGATCACAGGAGGTTGGAAAGCTGAAAAAAGCCTGACATGCTGTAACTAACTTGCAACCTTCTCTTTTTTATATGGCTTCTCAAGATATTTGCTTCCATGGGGTGTGTTATAAAACCAATGAGTTTTGCAGCCTCGGGTTTATATGTTGCTTGAGCTTCCCAAATGGATTAAGAGGTGAAACATGAAGTTAGTTGTGTTTTGTGTGGTTCCCTACCCTCATGCAGTAAAAAGTTTCCTTTGTAAGAAATATAGACAGCCTTTGGGGAAGGCATATGGGCTGGGGATGTGGCACACTATTGCTTGGACTGCATCTGGTGGCTCTCTTCTGAGGAGCAGAGTGGGAGGAATAATAAGGTGTTGCTGTACATCTGCTTTTCCCTTACGGATGTGAGGCTCACACTGGCTTGCATCTGGATTCAAGTCTAGCTAAAGTGTAGATGTCAGAGAGGGGGAAAAGGGGAAAACTGTAACCCTGGAGGTGACAGGGTGGTTAATAAAAGGAGAAGGTGTCATTTCTCTGCAAATTGTCCATGGGAGTTGTGTGATGGAGGTGCACAAGCTTCTCTAACCAGAGGGTAACATGTTCCCAAGTGGACCATCCATGTCCCCCACCAACTGGGAAGTGCATCCATGCTTCTCCTTCACCCTTCTGCACATGGGTGCAGAACAGTAGCAGAAATTAAACTATTACTAACTCACAGAGGAGCAGTGCATCTTCCTGGGCTTGCAAAGGAATTTCAAGACCATTTGGGACCAAATTCATGGGGTTCAGAGGTCAGGGTCTTAATCCCCAAACCAGCCTTTATGTAATCCTACTATTGATCCCACATGCAGGATTATGTGTGCTGATACACATAAAGTAATTTTAATAGTACTTGTGCATGGGTAATGTCCCCCACGGGAAGACCTTGGTTGCTTCCAGATCCCTTATTAGAAAATTGCTGTGTAGCTTTGCAACCCCCTGTAAGCTTCAGAGAGGAGAGTGTGTCACGGAACATCCTTCTCAAGAGCATACATGACAGAAATGTGTGAGGGAGGGTGGCACAGACAGATGCCCCTGATGTCCCCTTTAATTGTCCCTGCATGCTTCTGGGTAATGCTTCCTTTTTGTCACAATTTTTACTCCAAATAAACCTGGATCACCCTGTAGTTGTTGGGTCAGAGGAGAAGAACTTCAACTAATGCAGAAAAGTTTAAATAAAGACTTGAGCTTGGACTTTATAATTAAGCATCTTTTGCTGTGCTGGTGCCTATCCCAGTGAATCCATTATCCACATGAAGCTATTAAAACTTAAAGCTTACTGCTGAGCTGAGATCCAAGGTCTGCTGACCTTCCTTTCCCCTGCTTCAAGATCTCTGGGGCTACAAGTATTGCAGCTCTCACATACTTCAACACCTAGTGCCTCTTTTAATTTAAAATCTGTTTCCCTTTTGGACAGAACAGAAAAACAGAAGAGATTTGGAAACCTGTTTAAGATAGAAAAGTTGAAGCTGAATAATTTCAGGCTCAAGGAAAACCTAAGGTAAGGAAATGTTGGTGGTCCTACCCCTTCCCTCTTCAAACCTGAGCATTCTTCTTTGCAGTAATTTGAAAGCAGGAGGTCTAAGAGTAAGAAATGCAGCTTTATTGCTTATGCCAAAAGTGCTTCTATCAACTCATTAAGAGCTGCTATGGCAGATGTGACCAATGGTCCATCTGTACAGCTCCTTTGAGGTCTCTGGCATCAGGAATCTACAGGAGGTAGTCCTACAGCAGCCTCTAGGTTTTCATAGGCTTTCTGCTGCCTTTGGTACCTTTCTGATACCTCAGCATGACACAGGTACACAAGGGAATGTAGAAATATGATTCCTGCTGCCTCCACCTGTGGCCCAGGATTAGGTACAGCCTTGCTGATGTGGCTCCTAAGGGTTGAGGGTTTTTATTCCAAGTCCCATTTAGAGCCAAGCTGGCAACAGCATCTGCTGAAGTTTACTATTGAGTTGTTAGTCTAACAGGGTAGAGGATATTGTATAACTTCTTCCAGTGCCCTTTCGGATACTCTAATATTCAACCCTGGATAAGATTCCAGGGAAATTGCCTTTTCCTCAAGTGTGCAGTAGCTGCCTGCAGAACCCATCCTCCACTGCTGCCAGCAAGTGCCTCACCCTGTGCACAGTGCCTGAAATGCTACTCTTTCTTATTTCTTTGCAAATTCCAGGTTAAACCTTTCCTCTTTTATGTTAGGGTATTTTATTTTACTTACAAACCTTTTCACACTAGATGCTCTGTCATGTCAGTGGCTCCTTTGAGCATTACTGCTAAATATCATTATAGGGAAGGACCCATCAGGTTGTGTGCCATCCTCCTGTCTCAAAGAACCCTTGAAGTTTCTGAAAGCACCTTAGATGTCTACAGAAATTGTAACATTTAAATTCCTGGGCAACCCATGATATTGGCAGACTTATAGGAAGGAATTACTACTGGCTGCAATTACCAATTGTCCATCAACCCTCTTGCTGCTGGGAAGCGATGTAGGGGTGGGCAGCAGAGCTTGGACTGTATTTTGGATGCAATATAGACCTTTCCTGCTTGATGAACACATGGCTCTTGATGTTGTCAGAGGATGGAAATGCTTATTTAGCAAGGGATGTAATTTTGGCAAATACTGTTGATATCACATAGCTCATGCAGCTAGACCTGTCTCCATCAGCAGCAAGCACTGACAGCTTTTGGGGGCTTTTGGCTTTTTGGGTGATGCTGAAGTGCAGACTTGTTGCTAAAAGTCTTTTTCTATCCACAGATTGGTTTCCATTTCGGTACCAAATTTAGGTAAGCAACATACATGTGTCTGACTCTTGGGGATTTACTTTTGTGTGTATGAAGAATGTGTATTGTACAGTAATCTTGATGCATTGTGCCTTTTTGAAAATCATGTAATGTGGCAGCATTAGTTCTGAAGACTTGATAGAGATTTGTACCTCACTCGAGGGCGGTGTTTTTGCTCATTTTTGGGTGTTTTTTCTCTGAAGAGGAGCATTTCTCCTGCAGATCTGAATATATTAAGGAAGGTAATGTGTGAAGCAGTCCATGCTGAACCACTGCTTTCAGGCTGATGGTGGTTAAGAGCTGACATCACTCCAGCAGCTCTCTGTAAAACTACTTATTTCTGCCTGGTGGAGGCACAAGTTCATGCTTTGCATAAATGAGGGTGGACACAACACCTGCCCTCACTAATCAAGCCTTGAGGAGGTGCTGGAGTGAACTTACCCATGACCACATGGGAACCCTGCCTGGGCTGGCTACTGCTGCTCCTGTTCCATCTGTGGAGCTGGATGGCCAAACCCATCCAGAAAACTGCCCATACACACAACTAACAAACCCAAGCATCGTTCCTTGCACTGGAGCTTTGCCAGATGTTTGGAGCCCTGAGGATCTTGCCTTTGCACTGCCTTGGCCTCTTTGGGTTGAGCGACTAGCAGCAGCCCAAATTTTCCCCTGAAATACATAATTTGGAATACCAGGCTCAGAATGACATTTTCTAATAGTTTTCTTTCCTGCATTTTGATTGACAGCATCTGTATCCCAGGAGGACCAGGTGTATGACGATATCGAGGTGGGGCAGAGAGAGCCCAGGTGAGGAAGGTGCCCTCTCCTGGCACTGGCCTCAGGCCAAGGAGATGTTCCTCTGGGCACAAACCCATGCCCCGAGGAGCCTGTGGTACTGCAAACCACCAAGGGTCACGAGCTGGTTGGGACTCAGTCCCCTGGAGACAGTCCAGATGCCCTTTCCATGTGTGTTTAATTTGGCAAGTAGCATCCTGAAAAATGTTTCTTCAGCGTTACCTAGTTAGTGCCAGAGACGTGGGAAGGAAAGAGCTGCTCCCTGAAACACATGAAAATTCAGATAGTTTTCCTAAGGAAGGAAAACTCCAGCTCCCAGACCCGATTATCAGCCTTGTCCTGGCAGGCTCCTTGTCAGAAAAATTACTTTTAATAGGAACAGCATGTCTTGATGTCTTGCTGCCAGATGATTGTGGCGGCTGCGCGTGCTGGTATAAATCACAGCAAGTGTTTGCATTTCAGTGGTGGGTGTGGGGGAAGAGAGGGAAAAATCACTACTCTGTAGGTACATGGGTTAGGGAAGGGGACATAGTCTGCTGGAAAAAATTGAACTCCTGTGTGTCTCTTCCTCTCAGAGAGAAGGATGACAAGTACAAAATCCGGATGCCAAAACTTCGGGTGCCGAAAGAGTATAAAGACAAAAGGAAAAGCATCGCCGATGTGGAAAGGTCTTGATTTCCATTCTGTATTCCCATGCTGTCTAACTTTGTACATGTGTCTCCTTAGTGATTTCAGGAGTGGGATGTCCCTAATGGCACAGACATTTTATGTTGGCTGCTTTGAACCCAGCTTTTAGGAAACTTTACAGAAAATGTCTCAAGGGTAAAACAAATTCTTGGATCTCAACTGTATGCAAACGGAGGGTATCCTGAGGTCTTATCCTGAAGTTCTGTCATGGCTTCCCACTTAGCTGGGGCAAAAAGTTGTTACTTGCTGTATATTTGGTTCCTTTTTGCTATTTCAGAAGGTTTATATTAGATATTAAGAAGAAATTCTTCCCTGTGAGGGTGGTGAGGCACTGGCACAGGTCGCCCAGAGAAGTTGTGAATGACCCATCCCTAGAAGTGTTCAAAGCCGTGTTGGAGGGAGCTCTGAGCAACCTGATCTAGTGGAAGGTGTCCCTGCCCATGGCAGAAGGGTTGGAACAAGATGACCTTTAAGGCAGCAACTCAAACCATTCTGTGATTTTGGCAAGAGCCCTGTGTTTAGAAGCCCTGTACACAATGTAGTAATTGCCTGTAGTTTCCCTTGCCCTTATTTTAAAGTATTGATTTCTTAGATCTTCTCTCTCTGGTTGGGCTGATTGCATTGTGTCTTGCTGTATCCTTTGTGCATAAAAGCAAAGATTTTTTTTTGTTTGTTTTGTTACTGGTGCTGCAAAAATTCATATGGAAGTAGGAGATTTCCTTTACCTTTGAGATTAGAAAAATGTGCATCGCAATGAGCTTTTTTATGACCCAGTACATGGGACTTCAAAGAAATGCAAATCAAAGATTCATTTTCCAGGTTCTTACCACAGAGCTCCTGCATGGGGTTGCTCAGACACTGCTGGTTGTGTTGTGCACAGTCATAGGTATAACTTTACAAACCATCAGGAAGTCGATGCAATTTCATCCCTTCCTTAGACATCACAGGTCTTCCAGGCTGAGTCTGCCAAGGAGGAATCTCTTCACAGCCTAGAAATTCCTAATTTCAGCTCTTGTTTCCCCTTGTCTTAATTTTAAGTGCATCAAAGTGAGCCAAAGGTGAATAATTTATTACAAATGGGTGGGGGTTTTTGTTTGGTGTTTTTTTCCCTGTCTTAAGTTTTAAAATTAATGCTATAGCTAGAATTTCATGTACCAGAAAGAGTGGCATCTCCATACTCAGGGAATGCCCCAGAAGGAATGGCCATTGCTCCCTTTAAGTGGGGCATAAGAAATTGTTTTCCACTTTACAGTGCCATATAAATGTCTGCTTGGGTGACTTTCTCCTCCATGTGCTAAAAAACCCAAGAGAAATCTGGAGAGCTGTGTCAAGCCCCACTTCCATAAATGACTCAGGATGAGAGTTATCTGGGGACCCTTTCCCTTTATGTTTGAGTATAAATAAAACCAGAAGGAGACAAACTGCTGGGGGAAAAGTGAATTGTTGACTTCTATAAAAACATGACTGATTTGAAACACTCAATTGAGAGTTTGTTTGTTCCCACGCTGCTTACAGAAAAAAAAATTATTGCAAATGGAGATACAAAAGGGCCCAAGTTATGCTCGCTAACATATTTGAATTGTATATTCATTATTTTATGAAAAATAGGGATGTGAATGGTGTGCTTTCCTATTCCAAGGGTTCATTGCAGGCAAGGCTGGAGTTAGGCTTTGAGCTGCAATTCCAAATGTGCCAGGGATTATTTAAATGGACCTCACAAGTGTGTGTGTGTGTGTCTCTTGATGCAGAAATATCTTCAAATTCAAGAAGAGCAGTGAAGAAAAAAGCAGGAAGAGAGAAAAAGAAGAGAAGTTCTTTAGAGAAACATTTGTGGTACGTGTCTTTCTAGAGAACTGGTTGTGTCAGAGGAGGAAAACAGCTATGTGGCTTGTTTAAAAGATGCACAGGGGAACGTTGTTGGTCCTCAGCTATTCTGCCAGAGATGCCTCACTGACCTGTTCCTTCTCCCTTAATCTGGGGTCTTCATCAGGGATGTTACTGGGGTTTTTCTCCCTCTTCATCCCTAACCAAAGCCTCACAACCCATCCTGAAATCTCTTCTCTTCATCCCTCCCCACTGCCCTTACAGACATTGCACAGAAGTGTGGAATAACTTGTTTTATTTCTTTCCTGCAGTATGATAAGGAGATCAATGTCATCAACACAGCCATTGCTGAGTGCTCAGTCTCCAGTGAGAGGAGAGTGGATCTCCCTGTCACAGCTGGAGAACAGCTGGATGTTATTGATGTCACGGAGGGCCACGCAGTGATCTGCCGAAATTCAGAGGGCAGATGTAAGTCTGCAGAAAGTCTCTGGCACAGGAAGGGGGGACATTGCAAACCCGTTTGGAGGGGCAAATCAGCCTCCCAAGCCACAGTATGTTCTTTGTGCTTAGCCACTGAGACTTCATTTGCTCAGGAATTTACTAATTTACTTCCTTTTTTCCCCCCTTCTCTCAGATGGGTACGTTCTAGTGGAGCACTTGAACTTCAGGTAAACTCACATTTTATTTATTGTGATGCATATTTCCTTCTTTTTCCTGTGTAGAGATATCTAAGATCTGGAGAAATGTACTTAAAACTTCTGAAGGTAGGGGAAGTTAATGTAAACAGCCAGTATTAAATATTAAATAAGTATTTCCAGTTTTAGTCTGCCGTTACACAAGTTTCCAGTCCAACTGCAGCTAAAAAAAGGCCCGTCCAGTCATGACTTCTATAAATTGGAGATTCCTGACTTGCCTTCAGATATGCCATATTAATTCACATCTGCTGCAAACATGGGCCACTCAGTGTGCATTGCCTTGCCAAAACACACCCTCAAATTCCCTGCTGCAGTGTTTCCTTGCATGCTCATGCATAATTGATACAAATGAACCTTGCTGGAAAATGTTCTTTTTTTTTTTTTTCTTTTTGGGCAGACAGTACTGACTTCCCTGAGAGCTGGTCTACCCTGAACCATCCCTGAAAGTTTCCTTTGTGCTTCCTGCATCCAGGAGAGCCCACCTTGGTCAACTGTGGAGTGATGATGCCCATGTAAATAAAGCTGAATTATTTTTTGTACTGTTAAATGTGCAAGAGATGTTTCCTTTTCTTTTTTTTTCTCTGACATTTAGAGCATGTCTGCATCGATTATTAGTTATTTTCAGTATTTCTCACTTTTTGGTGCAGTTGGTCAGTTCTGAAATAGCCATTTCATTTCTGCATTTGCATGAAGAAAAATTGTGCACATTAGTTGCTCCAACTTCTTACTGTCTGTTTTAGGTGGTAGAATTACAAAATTCCCCAAAAGATTTTAAAAAGCAAACCATATAATTTTGAACTGTTTTTGGTCTTAAAACTATTGGGAGAAGGAGGATGTATCACCACTCCTGCTGTGTTAAATATATCAAATAGTGGAGAAGTTGACTCATTTCTTTCCAAAAAACATGAAAAAAGAGTAAATAAAGCATTCAGTCAAAATTTACTTTATTTTTGTAAGCTAACTTAGGCATCCCAGATATGTAAAGGTTGACTCCTGGCTCCCACTGACTCACAGGCAGTTTCCAACAGTTGCCCCTGTGTTTGGGCTGTTCTCCACTGTGGGCCTGGAGGATGATTACTTGTTTTAAGAAAAATGCTTCTAAATGTAGGAAGAGAAATATAAATTTTTAGTGGCTTCTCCTCAGTGTATCCAGTGGACACATTTTCCAGAGTATGCTGTGAAATTTTCTGTGAAAAGTAAAAAAATGGGGATAGGATTTTTACGTGGCTTGGGAAGAAGAAAAACCCTTAAGTCTGACTGTAGTGTACAGCTTTTGCCCCTCCCTGGCTCATTTTAAGAGCCTGTATCAGCTTGCTCATAAATATCCTAAAAATGTAGAAGTTTTAATTAGAAATTATTAAAAGTTCCAGGCTTAAGAAAACACAGCAAAATAAAAGTGCTGTTTGCCACAGGGCCATTTCAAAGCTGGCAAAGGAGACATCAGTAAGAAAACAGAGCAAATATTTAACATTTACTTTTAAGTCTATACAGGCATTCTTATTTATTTTACCATGTGGTTATTATTAAGTGCGTTGGCCTGCATCCATCCTTGAAATAAAAAAAATAAATAAAACAATCCCCTGTAAGCATGCGCAGCTTTGCAGGCTTGCCAGCCCAAATATTTAGACTTCTCTAGTGGTGATGGAGGGTTTGGGGAGCTGAAGTGCGTGTTTGGCTTTGGCACAGGCTGGGACGTGCTCTGTGTCCTTCACCTACAGCCTTTGAGGGGAATCAGCCTGATGGAAATTGTGGAGATGGTTTAGCTTGGGGGCTTTTTTCCATGGCAATGTTGAGGATTAATACCATGAAGAAAACATCCCCTTCCTCATCCCCCTCCCCAGCCAGTGCTAACTCACAGCTCGTCAAGTCCATTAAGCTCTGTGAGCACTACGAGCAAATCTTGTATTAGCCACACGTGTGAGCTCTTTTTTTGCTTCATAAGGAAGTTATTTAACAAGTTTCTCTCATTTTAAATTAAGGCTTTTAAAAAAAATCTCCCATATATCCTATGATAGACGTGATTGGGCCCTGATCCCGGTGCACTGACGCAGAGTCCTTGTGGGGTTGTGCCCCAAATCCCTGTGAAACATGAACTTCTGCACCAGCATTGGCAGCTGATTTAATGCAAAGGTGCCTTGCAATACACTTAGAAATATATTTCCCCATGGATAAATTCCAATGCATGTACAGAAGAAAAGAGCTTTCTATGGGATGACTCCAGACAATACAAAAATTCTTTAGATAGAGCAACTTAGATATCCTCAATTAAACCACAGGTTGGCTAAATTTAGGTTAAGATATTGGTCAGGAAATTAAATGTGTCATTTTCCTTTTTTTTCCTTTACAAGCCTCGCTGGTACATCCTAACCACATCAAACCTTAAAATAATTCTCATGCGAGTTTTAAACCCTGTTCCTCTGTGTTTCTCTTCAAAAAGGAAATCATCATGATAACAGTTGTTGATTTGCTGAGTTTGAGGGAGAATTGAAATTTTTTAGAGGGCAATTCTGTATCACAGAAATTGTGTAAAAAGGAGAGCGTGGATAAGGACAAAACTGGGGCATTCACTGCAGCTGTGTGCTTTCACTGGATTTATATCCAGCTGCATCATAGGCATATAGGAAATAAGCCCCTAATTTCACCCCCCTCCCAACACCTTTCCTGTAGTGAAAGGTTATTTTTGCACACTATCTTTAAAATTATACTCTCCATGCTTTGGTGTAAGGGGTCGAGATTGAGTCAGCACAGGCCCATCAGCTCTGATGGATGCATGTTAATACAGAAAACCTTCAGGCCTGGCTCCTGGCATGTATTTTGGGTTGGGGAAGCTGTTTAAGTTGTTCATGTATATATTTTAATTCCCTTTCCTGCTTTGCACCACCCCCCAAGCCTTCAGGGCATCCATGATCCCACAGTTGGGATGTGCAAGGATCTCCAGAGAGAAACTCTTAACAGCCAACTCCAGTCCACAAAAAGGCACTGTGAAATAAGTAAATTTTAAGGATTTGCTGCTTTTATCTCTTTTCATCTCTGAGTTTATTAAAGTGCAAATGTCAACCATGGAGACAGCTATCACATGCAGTGCAGTACACCAAGAAACACTTTCCACACCATAAATGGAAGGAAAAAGGCTTCGTTGTGATTATCTAATGCACAAAGGACAAAACTGAACCTGGGCTCTGGGCCCTTCCACAACAGCTACCCCCAGAAAGTACTAAAGCCAGGAATCTGAAAACAAAACCTTCTCCAGTCTCTGAGTTGACAAAATAGAAAATACCAAGAAGGATGGAGTAATTATAGAGCTCAAGGAGGTTTTTTCTGAGTTTCATGTTAATGATATGTTTGAAGGGATGCTTATACTCAGAGCTTTTAAAAGTTCATTATTTTAACAAAAATATTCATAAATACATAATATTATAAATCATAAATACTCCTTAGAGTATGAATAAAAAAATTGCAGTGGACTAATATGGTTCATCTCTGTCATAGAGCTGAAGTTTGTTTGCCCAAAAGCTGGGCCATGCACACTACAATTATCCTGGGATTCAGTTTTGCTTTGTGCTCTAAAAGAAAAAAACCAAAACAAATGCATTGAGGTACAAAACACGTGAATATAACATGATACAGAACATGCTTTCAGCAACAAGAATAAATATTACCATGTCTACAGTATCTACTTCACAGCTTTGTGAGATGAGGATAAATAAACTATTTCCAAACTGTAAAAAAAAAAAAAAAAACAACCAGAGATGAATTCTACAAATAAACTGTGATTTTTAAATTAAGGCAGCTTCAGCAGGAACTTCAAGGCTTTTGTTGAAAACAGATTTTTGTAACACCAAAAGTGTACTCGTGCTTGCAGGTAGAGCTTTGATTTACAGTCCAGTTTCCTCTTTTGATGATCAAAATGAGCAAAGATCTGTGCATCGAATACCAGGTGTGCTCCCTGCAAAAGTCACTGTTCCGTCAACAGGTGTAATGTGGGAATTCTGAAAACCAATTCACCTCTAGGGCATGGGAGTGAGGTATCTCTGGATGAATCATTAACTCCATGGCCGGGAGGCAAACTGGACATTCAGAATTACAAGAAGCTGTTGCTTGTTTTATAAGTGAATGACAGAAAGGATATATAAGGGAAGGGCTAAGGAAGCCAAAGGAAAGCACTAAATGGAAAGCCCATACCAATGTAACACCTTAAGAAAGGCGACTCTAGTAGGTACATCACATACCTGGAACAAAACCAGAGCCTAAAACTTTCTAGGAAAACACTGCAGGAGCTGGAGCAGGGATTTGTTTGGCTCATCCAGATGTGTGATTCTTCTTCCTTCTCTCCTCTCAGCTAATAAAAGGGTGAAGCCAAATAATTGCACAACAAATGGTACTTCAAGTATTTAGAAACATGGCCTGCATGTCGCACCGGGGGGACTCTGCATGAGCTGGGGAAATTGTGCACCTCATGAAATAAAGCTGCGACTTCCAGCAGTCCTAATGTATGTTGAAGGCACGATTTCATGTCCTGCACACAGATCTCTCTTCCTTCTACAGGGGGTGCACACTGGTGGTAAAGGGCAGTAAAATGAAAAGGAGTAGACAGAATGGTTATTTTGTTCGAAATTCATCTATTCCAATACGAATGTCATTATAATCACACACAAAAATATATATATACAACAGATACTAACCAACTGATTCATTTTTTTACAATACTGCCCATATATATAACCCTGTGCTTGTACACACCTTGTTAAATGCTTAAACTGGATACACAGCTGAAGATGCATTTCTGACCCGTTAAGAGAAAAAAAATATCCTGCTGCCTTCACCTGCTCAGCTCCAACTCCCGAAAATAAACCTACCCCAAACCCCTTTAGCACCAGGGCTTTGGCTGGGGAGGGTGGAAGGGCAGGATACTCATGGCTCCCAATGCCACCTCTCCTTCTGTCCCCAGACGAGGCCATGTTGGGTCCAATGGGGTCAGCTAAGCTACTCATGGGCTTTACCTAAAAGAGGGTGTAAAAATAGCATCCCTTTTCTCCAGGTCCTCTTGCATGCTGGGATTAGTGTGTGTGTGATGGCAGGTGTCCAGGGCACACACCTACCCTGCTGGGTAAATAAAGCCAAGAGGCCAACAACAGGGATGCAACTTACATTTTACACACACACACACACATATATATATATACACACATATATATATGTGTGTGTATGCATATATATATTTTCCAACAAGAACAGTACAAGCTATTTCTGAACTAACTCATCCAGGAGCTGGAGGTTACTGCTGGAGCCTATCTGAACTCTATATCCTTTGCATTTTGTCTCTTTCCCTCTCAGGCTGAAGCAAAGTGTGGGTGAGCTTGTGGCTTGCAAAGCACAGCTGTCCAGTGGCTTCTGAAGAATTGCACTTGGATTAATTCAAGTTTTTGTAGTTCAAATAACGTCTACCCTGCTTTTCCCGATGCTTGTGCATGTACCAGCATAACTCAAAAGAGCTGACCACAGCGTAACAGTGTAAAAGTTAAACTTTTCCTCTGGAAAATGTAACTGGAGGTCAGCAGCTTCTTTGCAGCTGGGGAACAGAAAACCTTATTTGAAGGTAAAATAAATAATTAAAAAAAAAAGTGAAAGTTCTCAGGAGTATTTCAAAGTGCAGCATGGATTTGGGTAAGGCTGTAATGGACAGTTCAATCCTATGTGTTGAGGAGGTACTTCCATCAGTCCTACTCACTCCACTGCCTCTGCTGACACTGAGCAGGAAAGCGGCTTCATCTCTTTATTTCTCTCCACATGTAAAACTGAGTAACTCCTGGTTACTCAGGACTGGTTTTGCAGATCCACATAGGAGTTAATGTTTGCATGGCTCTGAGAAGATGCCAAGTGCCACAAGGGCTAATTCTACCACCTAGAAATCCCACCCGCCTCCAGGAAGCACATATTTCCTCCCAAGGGCATTTGCTGCTGTTTAATACTATTAGTTCTGCTGGGTAGAAAATCCCAGAGGACAAGAGTCAATTTAAAAAAAAGACATCTGTACATCTACCTGCTTCTGAACTCCAGATTTTAACACACCAGCCTCTTATCAAGGGAGCTACAGGTGTTTCCAGGACAAGCAATTTGGCAAGATGCTCAGTTGAGAGTGAAGATTTAAAAAGCCTTTTACATTCCAAATACATTTTACTCATAACTGTTTCCCAGATGGAAATTAATGTCTGTCCCTATGGCTGCTCAGCTGCCCTCTCCTGCTCCTTTCCAATGGGGCTTATCTCCAGCACCCAAAATCATTTAGGGCTGTTTGCTCTTGTCTCAGCATTGATCCTTGTGGGTCCCTTCCAACTCAGAATATTCTGTGATCCAAAAGCTGTTAAAGGGCTGGGTGCTGCTCAGCTTTGGCTCTGGGGTGGGTATTTTTTTTTGCATGCAGAGTCTGGATTGTCCATCCTTGCCAGGTATGACCTGCTCACACCACAGCACTGGAGAAACATCATCTGACAGCCACCAGACACAGCACCAAAGCCATCCTCCACCCCTGAGTATTTATTTAATAATCATAATATACTAAAAGGCTCATTACAAACCCTAGGAGAACTACAAATATTTCCAGTATTTCTTTTAAAAACAAAACTGTTCTGCTGTGGGTTTATAATCCACCCACTGCTGGGTTGGATTTAATGTTCAAGAGCTCAACAGCAAAACTGATTTTTTTTTTATTTGGAAGCTTTCTATTTTGTGCGACTTCTGGAAAAATTGGAGCTTTAAGTCACGTTAGTGAGAATCTAAGCACAATCTGTAACAAAAGTAAGGCAATTTTGTGTTTTTTTAAAAAAAAGGGACTTCAAGCTGAAAATGTCCATTTAACTGCCAGTAGATGGCAAAAATATCCCATATTTGTCTTGATTACCTTAAATGATTAGTAAAAAAGGCTTAATGTGTTGTTCTCTTCCTTGCTTCTCATAGAAACTTGCAGAAAGTATAAATTAAAGTGCAACTGTACAAAAAAACCTAGAAAAAAACCTCAACGGGTCATAAGAAGCTATCAAAAAGATGGACTAATTTTTTTTCAAGTTGGATGACTGTATACCTGGGACTAGCAAAAGTTCTTTGCTTTGTTTCTAAAAACAGAACATAAAAAAAAACCCAAACAAACATCAAAATCAAACCTTCCACCCAGGATTTTTTTGGCAAAGTTCATAAAGCATTTGTTCCTTGACTGATTAGACAATTACTTTGCAATCAAGTAAATGGAATTAAATACCACGGCAAAGCCAAGCAGATGCCAATGCTGCCCATTAGATTAAGCCTGTGTAATAAAAAATAACTCTTTTAAACAAAGAAGTCACACATGCTTTAGGGTTTACCCTTGAAAAACAAGAATTTAACCTTAAAAATCCCAGTAGTTTGTCTTAAAAAAAAAAAATCCCATCCTTCAGATAGCCAGTAGTAAAGAAGCAGTAAAACTGTGGATTTGGATATCCCTGCCTTATCAGTGGAGTGGTGAAGGTCACAGTCCAGTGGGCAGCAGCAAGACAGGAGAGCCCTTCGGCATGAAAAGCAAGTCTCTGGCAGCATGA